ATTCAGAGACTAATGAAAGTGAGCTGAAGGCTGTATTACCTCAACTATTCCTGAGTTAAGTGGCATTATTAAGAGAAGAGCCTGTGACTGCAGAGTCAGCCTTGTACTACACAGACCTTTTGTTTCAAGACCACAGCCAACGGCTTCCTCATGTTTGGCCGTAGGGACAGACCAGCATCTTACATTGTGTGCATCATGAAGGATACTGCGGAAAAACTGTACTCATGTTTCTAATAATTTTACCCAACAGTTAGTTATAAGGCTACCTTTAAACTGTCCTAAACTGCCATTTTCTTCTGCAGTCTCTTGCTGTATGATTGCTTGAAAAGAAGCCATTCTGTACATTGGAAACCGAAAGAAATATGAATAAACAAATTCTAATATTACAAATGGCATATCATAATGCTAAAAGTTATTTTATAATCCATTCCTAATTCTAATCACAACTTCCTACTGTAGTAAGTATAATTTTGTTGATTTTAATAAAAAATAATCTCTAGTTCTCTACTATCTAAGCTGTTGCTTGTGTTAGCTAAAAAGCATAGGGATCATTGATTATATTCATAAGCTCATCAATTATCCTATTGCTGCCATTCTGTAGTAACTATTTATAACCAGGTTCAGTATATTAAGGGGTATAAAAGCTCTGAAAATAAAATCTGGCTCTTAACCTTATTTGTATGTATTTTTAGCCCATGTTTATCTGGCACTTATTGGCCTCTGAGTTGTATACCTATACTAAGGGGGGAATAAACCTCTTTGTTCCAGTATTTACTCAAAAAAACATTTAGTCATGTTCTCTCCCTTCTCTTCAATTCAGCATATTATACTGTATTTCACTTTATTTATAAAAAGTTATGCTTACTGCAAATTCTAAGTCTTGGAACAGACTTTATTAGATTATAATTAATTTCCTTCAAAACGTCTGCCCTTTTACATCTGAGGAGAACATTCTGACTTAATATTTTGAGGAAAGGGAGAAAAACTAGTTAATTAGGGGGAAGAATATGCACACACACCCCTACACTGACAACAGACATATCTCCATCCTTGTACAGCACAGTCTTCTCCCATCCCAGTGCTCTCTACAAGCTCTGCCCGAGATCTCCCCCAGGAACACCCCAGCGCTGGCCTGGCCCCCACCACCTCTCCAGCTGCAGGTGCAACACCACTGAGCGAGCCGTGCAGCAGGCAACTCGCTGCCTTATGCTGTCTATCAGCCAGAGTCTCTCTACATTTGCACTTCTCCAGACTGGAGGAAATATTGCAGAGGTTCGTCTGCAGTTACAGGATTGGAAATCCCTCTACCAAGGTGTGTCCTCTCTCCCTTTTAGTTGCTACAAATGTGCATCAGCAACGCAGCTTATTGATGCAGTTTTCTGACATGGGCAACTTGCCCATGGTTCAAGGTAGGGAAATGTTACTTGGAGAGGATCCTTCTTCACCACAGAGAGGGAAACTATACTGGTGGGATTGCGAAGGGTACGGGGTGAGGGTCCCAGTAGGGGAAAAGCAAGGATGTGCGCACGCTGCCCAGGAGCTGTGCTGCATCCTTCTGCAGATGGTGGCTCTTGAGCAAAACGGGCATCTGCAAACCCTTGACACGAAGCCCTCCGACCGAGGACACAATTTCTCTTGACAAAGGGAACAGCCAGCCATTGCCCCTTGGGGAGAACCAAACTAAGTACTTCCTCACATTTGTGTGAGCCAATATAGCTTTGTAAGAGATTTCTTTTCTTCAGGTACACTACATGAAGTAGTAGGCTTTAGAGAGGCTGGTACAAAGACTCTCTTTTCACCACCACTACTTAAACATTCATAGAAAAGGGAAGTAATGGGGAGTTTATTGGGAAGATATTAAAAAGGGAAGATCTGATAGTAGAGGAAGGATATACAGAGTAACCTTTAATAAATAACTGTATGGTCTCAAGTGAGTTAATAACATTGCTGTCTAATGTGGGGGATGGGAGAGTTCCAGTTTGATTACAACTTCGACCTTGACCAGTCTGAGCTGTGTCCTTGAGCCAGGAGAGCTTGTGGAGTACACAGTGTTGCAGAAGCTACATTGCTTGTGCCAGTCATAGCTGTGTGAGCTGCATTACCTGAACCAATTGTGAGAGAATTCAGGGTTCAGACCAATGGTAACCGCTATGCCTGTGCGTGGACAGTTAAGAAACACATAAACATGGTGTTTGAGATACAATAAAGGTCTTTGCTTGTGCTGTTAAGTGAAGTCCGTGCCTTAATCGCCACAAATGGTGACCCCGACGTGATTACAGCTTGGGTCTGGAATATCGTGGATTGCAGAGCGACCGGTGGCAAGCCTGGTTGAACGTAAGACAGCGGACGTGGAGCTGTAAGTCTAGACGCAACAATCACCTGGCCGAGGTGAGCAACAGGGGATGTAATGTGGGGGTGCAAATGTCGGCAGAAGAAAAATCGATCCTGTGCATTTGAATGCGTATTTTGAAAAATCGGGGCATTGCTTATGATGAATATAAAATACGCTTGCTCCTTGTTTGGGTGAAACGAAATGGGGCTCAAGTTGATGCACAGGCTGCATTTCAAGTAGAGACTTGGGAAAATGCTGGACAGCTTTTGTTTGAGGCTGCTTCAAAAGGGGATGTGAATGCGGGTGGCATGCTTACCACCTGGCGTCTCATTCCAGACTCTATAAAACAATTAAAGGAGGATTGGAAAGCAACGGGTGTTTTTTTTTGTTGGGGCCTGCCACTGCACCTGATCCACTGTGGGCATCAGAGACTGAGATTAATGCATCCCCCTCGACTTCAGCGGATGTACCACTGCTATTAGACCATCCGATTCCAAGTCAGAAACACCCCGTGCCTCCTTTTAACGCAACTATGCCCAAACAGGATGATGCATTGGTTTTAATGGGATTTGAGACAGAAAGATCAAATAGTATTGGTTCGTTTGATCCCACCTCTCGATGGCAAAGAATAAAAAATCAAGCCATAAAGGAAGGGGATGCAGATGTTTGTAATGTTCTTGCATTTGCAGTGATCCATAATAACGGAACTGGCCCAGACGAACATGAACCTCTTCACTGCAGTGTATTAAAAGACTTAGGACAGACAGTTGCTGCCCATGGACTGGGATCCCCTTATTCCCAGGCGATATTAAGGGGAAAGTTTACAAATTAGTTGATACTTTTTGATATTCAAACTATAGCTTACCTGATATCAACACCTACCTGAAAAATGATTTTTGAAAGTCAATGGCGCACCCTGTGTCAAAATGCTGCTGTGGTAAATGTACAAAGGGGACCAGGAGATCCATTGTTCAGCGCTGGTTTGACACAATTAATGGGAGTTCCCCCCATACATTACCACAATTGCAGGCATGATTAGTGCCTGAGATTTTGGTGCAAGGACAAGATTTGGCATTGCAAGCTTTATTGAAGGCACCTGATGCAGGCCAGGCAACTAAGTCTTTCAGTCTCATAGGACAAGGTCCCACAGAAGGATATATACCAATTTTGGACCGTTTGAGGGATGCTTTAGACAAACAAGTAGATAATGTAGTGGCACGGGAGGCTTTACTGTTGAAGTTAGCTCTGGAGAATGCTAATACAGATTGTGATAAGGTATTGTTACCTTTAAAAAATCCCACGATAATGAGCATCATTGAAGCTTGTCAAGAGATTGGGTCTATACAATATAATGTTGAAGCATTTGCTGCTGCATTTGCTGCTGCAGTAAAAATTCCAAAGTCTTGTTTTAATTGTGGCCAACCGGGACATTTTAAGTGAGATTGTCCTAAAAAGTCAAATACTCAGGAACCTCGTTTAGCTCCTGGTCCATGTCCAAGGTGTAAAAAGGGTCAGCACTTCGCCAACCAGTGTAGAGCAAAGTTCAACATAAATGGTCAACCCCTATCGAATAAAAGGTCGGGAAACCTACGCAAGAGCGCAAAAATGGGAATACGCTCAGATAGCAAATGTCCCATTGCAAGCTTATCCGATCATCTCTGGGCCCGAACATGCAGCAGTGCCGGCTTGGATGTCACCACAGCTGCAGCAATCACAGTAAGTGATAACAGTGTTCACAAGGTACCACTGCAAGCCTGGGGACCAGTGGGTTATGGATTAAGTGCGTTACTTATAGGACGTTCGAGTGCAACCTTACAAGGTCTTTTTATTTTACCTGGTGTGACAGACGCTGACTATGAAGGACAAATACAAGTAATGATTTGGACTCCATCTCCCCCAGTGGAAATACCACAAGGGAGTCGTATTACACACTTGGTGCCATTTCATGCTCAAGTAAAGCATGCAGATTACACATCGAGAGGAAGTGGAGGATTTGGCTCCTCAGGCCATCCCGAAATTTTCTGGGTCCAACAGCTACAGCAAGGACGACCTCTATTAATGTGTCAGCTATATATGCATAGTGGAAAACCACAGAGTGTTAATATTAAACGCATGATTGATACTGAGGCAGATGTTACAGCCATTTCTTCACGACAATGGCCCTCTGCTTGGCCTACGACAAGTGTCAAGGGGGCATGTGTTGGTATAGAAGGGTCCACAGTGGCTCCACAGAGTGTCAATTTGATACAGATATTGAGCCCGGAGGGACAAGTGGCTTCTATACGCCCATATATAGTGTGAGAACCTTTGAATTTATGGGGTCGTGATGTTTTAGCTGCATGGGGAGTGTTGATTGGCACATCATCTTCACCTTTTTGAGTGGGGCCACTGTCGCCCAGGTCACCCAACGACCGACGTTGAAACTTTCTTGGAAAATGGAAACACCAGTATGGGTACCTGACGACTGAGAAGACCCACACATTGCACGATCTTGTTGCAGAACAATTACAAAAGGGACATGTTATGCCCACCACAAGCCCTTGGAACACACCTATTTTTGTTATTAATGTGAGATGTGTCAGTCTGATTCGTGTTAAAATAATGTGGAGAAAATGGGGAAGATGTGACCTCTGTGACTATTTTGGATGTCCTTGTACCTTCCCCTGCCATGATTCCTCGAGACTGGAGCACTTTGATTTTAGATCTCAAAGACTGGTTTTTTACCATACCGCTAGATTCTCAGGATGCCATGCATTTTGCCTTTTCTGTGCCATCTATCAATCATGCAGAACCTATGCAAAGATATCACTGGACTGTTTTGCCACAAGGCATGAAAAACAGTCCTACTATTTGTCAGTGGTATGTTGCTAAAGCATTGTCTCCAGTCAGATTGAAGTTTCCACAAATACTGTGTTACCATTATATGGATGACATGCTTTTTGTGGGAGCCCCAGAGGTAACGCTTGTGGAAGTGGAACAATGTGCACGACAATCGTTAGCAGAATATGGACTTGAAATTGCACCTGAAAAAGTACAAAACTGTCCTCCTTGGAAATATCTTGTATGAAAAATATTACAAAAAACCATTGAACCGCAAACTATTCAAATGAAAAAAACCTAAATTATTTACAGAAACTTTCAGGAACCAGTAATTGGCTTTGCCCATATCTAGGCTTAACTACAGAACAACTAGCACCATTATTTGATTTATTGAAAGGTGATGGCAACCTCAACTCGCCATGCACACTTACCAAGTCTGCACAAGAGACCCTTCAACATGTAACACTCATGATCCAATGTTGAAAAGTGTATCAGAAGGTGGAAGACATTGCTTTTCATTTGTTTGTATTTTTTCCAGGTTTACAACCTGTGAGGTTAATAGGTCAATAGGTGGAACACCATCAAGATCCTCTCATTTTATTGGAATGGCTTTTTTTAGCTTATCAATCAAAGAAAACTCTTGTTACTCAATTAGAAATGATATCAGAAATCATACATAAAGGTCAAAAATGCATAGTTCAGATTGCAGGCACTGAGCCAGGAAAAACGCATCTTCCTTTAACTGTTGAGCATTTCAAATGGTGCCAAGCTAACAGTCTGCCTTTGCAAATTGCCTTAGAGGGATTTTCAGTGTCCTTTGGTATACATTTGCCTTCACACAAACTTTTACAGGCTCATTCAGAGCTAATTTTTATATGTGCTCCTTTATGTCGACCTCAGCCTGTCAACGGCCCGACAGTTTTTACTGATGGTTCAAGAAAGACGGGCAAGGCAGCAATGGTGTGGCATGATACACAAAAATAGAATGAACAAGTATTCCATATTGTACAATTGCCTCAAGCAGTTGAGCTTTTTACTATTAAAGTATTTGAATATTTCGTGTAATTTAATTTCAGACTCTTTATATGTTTGTAATGTGATAAAACGATTAGAAAAGGTTTGGCTGAAACACGTTCTAAATGAACAATTATTTCTTTTGTTTAAACAATTGTGGTTGCTGTTAAATAAGAGAACTTTTCCCTATTTTGTGATGCATATTTGTAGCCACAGTCAGCTGCCTGGCTTTTTGATTGAAGACAGTGCGAGAGCGGATCAATTAACCACCCCACTTTGGCACAATCCTGTTCCACAAACTTTTCAACAAGCCTGAATTTCTCACAATTTTTTCCATCAAGGCACGAAAGCATTGAAAAAACAATTTGCCTTGTCTTGGGCAGAGGCAAAAGATCTTGTTCACTCTTGCCCAGATTGTCAACATTTTGTTCCAAGTATGACCATGGGCATTAATCCCCACAGCCTTCACGCGTCAGATGTGACTCATATTGCTGAGGTTGGGCGCCTGAAATACGTACATGTTTCTATTGATACATTTTCTGGTGCAGTATGGGCGACAGCAGAAGCTGGTGAAAAGTGTTGTGATGTTATCAAACATTGGTTACACACTTTTGCTGCTTTAGGTGTTCCAAGGCAAATAAAACTGATCATGGCCCTGGCTGTATTAGGGAACTCAACAATTTTTTGCTCGCTGGGGCGTGACGCATGTCACTGGCGCTCCACACTCCCCTCAAGGACAAGCCATTGTAGAACGTGCGTGCATCAGACCCTCAAGGACATGTTAATAAAACAAAAAGGGAGTATGTTAGGTGCCAGCCCACACCTTCGTCTTTGGAAAGCTTTTTATGTGTTAAACTACTTAGCTGTAACTGACAGTGATGTGCCTGTTCTTATGTCTCATTTATCTTTACAGACTAGAGATTTAGGTGCAACTCCTCACAATGCAAAGGTGTTAGTGAAGTCTCTTCAACCAGGACAATGGGAGGGGCCTTTTGACTTACCTAGGGAAGGCGTTCTGCTTGTATTTCCACAGAAAATGGCACACGGTGGCTTCCTGCTCGGTGTGTGCGGCCTGCTCTTCAGCGTCAGCAGTCAGGAAATGATTCATCAACCCTCTCAGCTAACCCCATGGACTAGTAAGAATGTGTGGGTAACGATGTCAAAGGCTTTAAATCAGAATTATTTTTGTGCCTTGATGGCTCAGCCTGAACATCCGTTTCACACATGTTTAGTAGGAGTGCCCTTGTCTGATTATAGTGAGCTCACTACAGGCATGACAAAATCAAATGGTCAACCACAGATTTTGACTCAGAACAAATGTGTAACACCCAAAAACTGTACAGAGAATTTTCATGTTTGGGATGGTTGGTTACCGGTTTCTCCTTTTGAACCTCAAGAAATTGAATTGCTGGGCAGTGTTCAAATGCCCTCTTGTTTATATTTTAACTTTAGGAAGGGTAGTGATTTTGTTGAAGGAAGTTTCACAGGGTATCATGATGTTACCCCGAGTCTTCCTATTTTTGTCAATTCCACAACTTGGTGTAATCATACTTACGGAAATAAAACAGAAAAGGAAACTTATGGGTGGCCAAATATAGAAGTACTCCGTAGTTTGCCACCAGGAATTTTTCTGATTCGTATAGGTCGTGCATGGGCTGGTTTACCCTCCCGAATGGTTGGAGGCCCATGAGCTTTCGACAGACTTACTGTAATGCTGCCGAATATTACTACGGTATTGAAACATACGTATTTGCATAACTCTCGTGTAAAAAGAGCATTGTTGTCTGCATGTGATGGCGAAATAAATCTCTGGAATAAAGGCCAGATTATTGCTGTCAGTATTTTTTTGCAACAGGCAGCTGCAGCTAAAGCATTGACACAACTTAATAAACTGGCTCGTTGGTTAGAAAAACAAAATAACTTGACTTCTAAGGTATTAAGCAAATTAGCATGGGATGTGAATAGTGTTAGACATGCTACTTTACAAAATTGGGCTGCCATTGATTTCTTGCTCTTAGCTCATGGTCATGGGTGTGAAGATTTTGATGGACTGTGTTGTATGAATCTGATTGATCACTCCGTCTATCAATAAAAAGATTCAGCAGCTCATGGATCGAACACAACACATTCAGGAAGATCAAGGATTTTTTGGACTCGAACAACTATTCTTGGGATGGGGTATTCAGGGTTGGTCTTTGTCAGTTGTTAAACTTGGTTTGTTAATCTTGTTGATCATCTGTATCATTATATTACTAGTGCTTTGTGTGTTAGGATGTTTACAGAGAATCTTAGATCATATGGTAAAACGAGCCTTTATTGTAGAAAAACAAAATGGGGCATTGTGGGGATGGGGCAAGTTCCAGTTTGATTACAACTTCGACCTTGACCAGTCTGAGCTCTGTCCTTGAGCCAGGAGGGCTTGTGGAGGATACAAGGTTGCAGAAGCTTGTGACAGTCATAGCTGTGGGCACTGCATTACCTGAACCAATTGTGAGGGAGTTCAGATGCATGAACACAGGGTTCAGATCAATGGTAACCGCTTTGCCTGCATGTGGACAGTTAAGAAACACATAAATATGGTGTCTGAGATATAATAAAGGTCTTTGCTTGTGCTGTTAAGTGAAGTCCGTGCCTTAATTGCCACAGTCTAATTTAACCACATCCCCTTAACTTGCCCTTCAACAACTGCGTGGTCAAGACAATGTATACAAACAGAGAGGTCAGTATTTGCTAATGACCACAAAAAGTTACCTCACTGCAGTACTGCAGACAGACTGTAGTTACGAGACGTGAGCGCTGAGTTACGGACTATATCCTCCCTACATGTGTAAGACATTAACTGTTCATCACAGAAACTTAAATAAATTAAACCATTCCACTGCAAATGACAAAAAGGGAACTTTCAAGTTGCAGAGTTATTATTGAGAGATATGGAAACAATAAAGTTAAGGTTCCACATGCATTCTCGGCTCTGTGCTTTGGTCTACATGTACTGTGGTTGTTAATTCCATAAACCACTAATAGCTTGTTTTTTCCTCCGAAAAACGACAGAAAAATACTTTTTATCTGCATTCAGTCTATAAACTCTCTTGAAAGACAGCTCTACTCTTATTTAAACAATCCAGTCTCCTCTTTACTGACATATTTTTATGTACAAAGATATTTTTCCATTATCTACACATTTTGATGTTCCAATCACATTTCTCCACACAAGCCCCACTGATGATTCTCGCCTCTAAGAATCTCAGCAAGGTACAAAGGACTTTCTCAATGGATATACCTCTCAGCATTTTTGTATCAATACACAATTCCATGTACCCTGGAAAGTACTCAGATAAATGTAAATCTAACCTAATTGAATGTGCAGGATGTCTTTATATTCCTATAATTTCCTATCACTACTCAGTCTTGTTACTTACAATATATATACTGTGTATTCTTCAAGCAAGTGACTCTCATTGACTTTGGCTGGCATACAAGTAGTTTACAGTACATAGAAGCTATCTCAACACATACATTTATAGCCGCAATAAAAATATTTGATGCTATATGGAAAACATTATTAAAATCACATAATTAAAGGCTATATGAAATTCGCACAAAAGAGAACAGATTCAGTCTTACCAACAAAATCGCTACCATTGGTGTTTCCAACACCTGAGGGCTTATTTGCCCAATGTTATTGACATTAAAAAAAACTTTCTTTCAGTTTTTGCTGTGAAACAGGCAAGTTAATAGAGATTTTCTTATGAATTTTGAGTGATCATATTAAAAGAAACTCCAGAATATGAAAACATTCCTCTGGAAACAAGTGACCACTATATTCCAAATACATTGTGAAATGCAGAAAGGAACAATTCTTATACAAATATTCAGAACATCACTGTATTTTCTTTAGAAGATGTAGGCAAATTTGGAAGAAAAGCTTAGTATTTCAAGTGTGTATCCATTTCAGGTGCAACATTTCGTTTTATGAGATTAAACAAAGAAATTAAAATGTAATATATTGAGTCCCAAGTTTGCATTCTGCCTTGTGCAGATATTTGTTTTAAACTTTTCCTGTATTGTCGCCAATAACCTGAGCATTTTTATACCTATTCTTCATCAACTACCTGGCTAAAAAAAAACTGAATTATGCAGACTGGGGGATAGGCATCTACAAACGGACAGCTCTTATGGAAACATCATGACAACTGTATTAGAGAGATTGCCAATGGTGAAATCTGAATATAC